GCGGGCCCGCGCTGTGCCGCTGCACACGCGGCTGCGAAAGGGCGGCGGTGGTCGGGTCAGGGGGGTTACACCTGCATGTGCGTGTTCGCCTCTCGGTTGGTGCATTACGGCAGAGCGCCACAGTGAAGCTACGCAGACAATGCAGGGAGGGAGCAAAGCACACAACGGTTTTATCGGCATAGTATCTAGAATTTCTATCAGCAATTGAAAATGAGTTACACCCGTCAAAGGAAAGGAATACAATGTATTTCCTGAGGCAGTGCAGTTGCCTTTTTACTGCGCGTAGTCACCAGGGGTGAAACGCAGCCCTCTGCAGACAAGATAGCAAAAAGCCCATCAGATTCTCCAAATCCACTCCAAGCTCCATTATAAAGAATTAAGTGGCACTTAAATGATACATAGGCTTTGTGCAGACCTGCTGCAAAGAACTGAATTTCATCTTAAGAACCTGAGCTGGCACTACTTTGCATCTCCTAAGAAGGGCTGTGCCCCTTCACTTAAACTGAAGTTAATAGGAACTGACGGTGCTCAGCACATGGTGGAATTGCTTTCCCGAGTAATACCATTTGAACTGGAGAACAAATGGAGTCTATCCGAGGGTTTTTCACACAAACAGCTCTGAGGCGTTGCAGGCAGGCAGATGTTATATCAACACTCACCAAAGTGTTCTTAACTGTTTTGTAAGATAGAGCAATTTGCAATGGATTTCCAGTTATTAGTAAAAATAAATAAATAAACATCTCTATTCATGATCAGTATAGTCCAATTTAACACTGTTTGACTGAGCAGCACTTCAGAATACCACAGATTATTTTCTGCTAAATACTGCAACTAGAATCGTTTTGAGACTAAGCTTCTCACCTGGTTTAACACTATATGTATACTTTCCTATAGAAAATCAGATTTATTTCCTATATGTTCTTTTCACACATTCACTCTGCATTCAGGCAGTTACCAATTGTTGCATCTCTAGTTAATCTCATAACTGAAAATCATGAACTTTTTGTGGTAGCAAAAAAGTGAGATAAATCTTGTTCAGTAGCAGTAACTGAAAAAACTTCCAGACATCTAAAATACGTTAGATTAAAACACTCAGATTGCTACAGTTTGTTTTCTCATATTTTCTTTTTAAAATCTAGGATAGTAAACTTGTTAATAAAAGTAAAATAATCTCTTTTTTTTCATCAAATAAGAATATTGATTAAACCAGCATTTGGGTACTGAGATTTATTTCACAATACATTGCACTCCTATTCATAAAAGGTGGTATGTGAAATTAATATTCACAAATCGTAATGAAAAAATGGCAAAATAACCTAAACAAGTGAAAAAAAAAAGTTGATTCCAGATGCCTGAAGAGCAAATGGAATATTCTTTGTTGTGGGGAGTAGGGGAAATTTCCCCTAAACCCAAACAGGATAAAACATTTTGAAACATGCTTCTTAAATGGGACTTTAGCTCACCTATACTTCTTATAGAATGATGTTCTTCATGTTCTTTTTTTCAATGACAACTTGTAGCACTTAATGCAAGATGTAAAGTATGCATTGGAGAAAATATTTCCTTTTTGATTTTCATACATTATTTCACAGTTGTTTTCCTTGAACTTTGAAGAAAGCTGATCAGCATAGCTAATTCCCAAAGTTTAGAAATGCCTTTGGAGTCATCAGTTTTGATGTAGCTAGATAAACACATTTATCCTTGTGTTTGACTCTTGCCCTATTTGCTGTGAACAGGACCCACATCTTTTATTATTAATCACCTCCAACTGATCCAAACTGGTTCCATCATCCCACTCCTCTCCCAACCTCTCTGTTCTCTTTGCTTCATATTTTTCCTTCTTCCATTTTTTTCAGCTGTAGCCTTTTGCTCCAACCATTTCTCTCCTCTGCCTGACTCAGTATATGTACACTATCTTCCTGTCAAACATCCCAAAACACTTTGCAGAACTTATTATGTTTAGCTACTTTTACTTACGACTGGTAAAAACTATTCATTGTCCCCATTTTGTGCAGAGATTAATGAACTTGACCAAGGTCACACAAGAAATTTGTTGCAGAGC